GAGACCGTGGGTGTGGAGGATTCCCGACCAAAGCCCCGGCCGCGAACTCACACCGCCAATGGGGACTCTGGTGCGCTGACTAAACCAACGCATGAGGAGGACTCCCTATCACCCTTAATGTCTCGCTCCTCCTCCCACTCCTCCGTCTGCTCCGTCAGTTCCGCATCTTCCTGCTCCGTGTGGTCTTCCTCCTCTTCTTTATCCCCGCCTTACTACTCCCCAGAAATCCCTTCCGAGCCCTACAACCTGATTCTTTCCCCTAGAGCTGCCGAAGACCTTCGTACTCCACAATCCTCGCTAAAGGTAAGTGAACTTGATAGATAAATTTTGTTTACGGACAATAACGATAAAATTGGCTACACTTCTTTTTCTATCATTTCGCTTTCAGCTTCGAATCCGATGGCAGCAACGATTACGGCGGTTTCTCCGCAACCTCTGTTGTTTCAGCCATCCACGCACTGAGGTGGACTGATATGCCGTTATTTGTTGTGAATTTCACTTTTTATTGTACATATGTTGTATCTTTTTTTCACTGTGAATGTAAATACTTTTTTCCAAATGTCAATGCTGTAATTAAATATCCTATTTTAAACTCTTTCTTATTTGAACCGAAAGTACGTCCCAGGGATATGCAAACATTCCTATATCTCTCGATTTAGTACAATTAGGAACTGACTCGCCATGCATACTATGGGATATTAGCTGCAGTTAAAGGGATGTTCACCTCTCTGGGCAGGGGTTTGTTGCAGCACACAAACACAAAAAAGAGGTAATTTATGATAACCATCGACGTCTGCCTGTTTAGTTATTAATTGATCGCCAGTCCACAAGCAATTTCGAAAATTGGGTTTAGTGGTAAAGCGCCCCTTTGGCGACTTCCGAAACCTCGATGGCAGGAATACACCTAAAACGAAATCCTTCTTTTGTAGCCAGTATTGGTTTTGTTTTAGTGTTGTAGTTGGTCAATAGTGGGTGAAAAAGGAGTTCGATTCAAATGGAAAAAAACTGACTTCAAAGGTACGACAATAACAAAACTATTACAGTTTAGCAAAAAAAGAGTGCATTTCGTTAGGTGACTTTAGTTCGGGCGGGGAGGGTTGACACAGGAACAGAATGTTCGCAGTCTTCCTTGTGTGCAGTGGTTTCGAGATTCTGCATCAGTGGAATGTTTGTCGGTGAACAGTTCCCCGCTGTCGGCTTAAGAATTCGCCGATTGTGGGCCGCAGCTTCAGCCGATTAGCCTCAGCATGAGGCCTGGCAGGGTTTAAGCTCCCTGAACTTCATCAGAATGAAAGAGAGATTCCACCGAGTCAGCCCCCAAAATTCCTGAAACTTGTCCTGAATGTAGCTCTTTTAAATGAAGGATAACTGCGTTGTGTTTTACTACTTCTGGGCAGCTTATTCCGGATTGTCATAGCGTTTAATGAAAAAAACTTACGGCATCTAACTGTGCGCGCCATGGGAAGGAATAAAAAACATCTCGATGACTGGCGCGCCGGGAGTCGTCGATCTGCCTTATGTTACTGAGGGGATTGAGGGTACGGCCGTCTAAAAGTTGGAACAGTAAAAATAGTCCCCTCTGTAATTTGCGAAGTCAAATGGGATCGATATTAATAATTTCTCGAGGTTGTTGGTAGGATAATTTATGTTGTTCTGAAGAGAAAACACTTTAAGTGAGGAAGTGCTGGATCGGGTCTATTTTCTTCCGTTCACTAGCGTGCAGAAGGCTAAATAGGGGAGAGCAGTATTCAAGACTTGGTCCCATATACATGTTGAGGCATGCATTCGCGTTTTCAGTATGGGGGAAACCAGACATCAGATATAAGGCTGTTTTATATAGGGGGAGCAATCGACTCTCGAAGCGGTTAAGCTTTCGACTAATAACGACCAAGTAGATTGACTGGGTTGCCGTGTTTTTCTGCGGCGTGTGCCAAGAACCTTGCATACGCACAACATAGACGCCAGGAGCATCCATTTAACCAGCAACTTCAGATGTGTTTGGCCCGTTTCGAAGTCAAGGTGTCTTCGCGGTCTGCAATTGTCTTCGTAATCATACTTATCTTTACATGTAGGCACAGTTAACTCCTACTTTACAAAACGTAGCCTGGTGTATCGAAAATTGTCGTTGTTACTACAGGCGTACCTCAAATCCATTGCCTAATCCGTCGGATAAATACATTGCTCCACACTGTCAGACTGTACCATGTCCATGCTTCTTCTGTACATCAATTAATAGCTTATTTTATATTGTAGGTGGCTGTCTCATGCACGACATGCAAACTGTGACTCTTAATGCATTAGAAAATGCGACTACAGGCGTTTCGAATTACATGAATTAAATCATCGTGTGATGCCTTATTCTGGCCAGTAATTTTCACAGACTAGTTATCCCTTGTTACAGCGATATATATATGAGGAAACCAGAGTGCTAGTTGTTTGGATCTACATTTTACGAACGATTTCTCCTACTTCTTTAAAGTGCATTCTAGTGCCCCGCTTGGGAAGAGTGACCATACAACGCTAAGGTCGGATTACTCATTCAACTCTCAACGCCCGAGGATAACCGAAGGCAAACCCAATTTATGGAAGGTTGATTTTAGTTCATGAAGAATGCACTGTCGTCAGTGAAAAAGACTGGAGATCGCTTGAGATGATTTCACTAGATATGATTAAGTGCTGCTGTCCGGTGAAGGTACATATGACTACTAGTCGCCCTGCCTGGTTGGCAGGAAACTATATTTCAGTCAAGCTCAAGACACGTAGTTTGAATTTCGGAAACTGAGTGGAATCTCCAATTTTAACAGATTTATCCGTTTTCTGTTGTAATTGGTTTAATTGTTGATAATCAGTTTAAGTTCTCACTCCAACGTAACTGCACCTACGTATGTTTGTTGTTTTTAACTTTTTGTGAAAATATACAGTTTTATACTGTTTCAACCGATATCGCCTCATCCACGTTCTGAAGATTCATATAAAAACAAAAAATTTAGAACACGAATCTAGATCTACAATTGAAATTTTGGAAACCTACTTATTTTCAAACAGCAAATACTTTTTAGTAGTCGGTAGATCAATTGAGATAATTTTTATCTTGCGTAGCCTCTTCGGTAATTCTATTCTTCCGTTTCGCCTCAAGCCGACGGAATTATGGCCAGCTTTCTGGCTTTATTTATTATAATTTCTACCTTCCTGTTATTAAATTCAGACTTTATTTTATGCTTGTGCTTCCCATTTTAAAGTTATACTGCCCATTCTTCGGTCCAGTGAATGAATGTAGCTGCTCGAAAAATGAAAATATCCAAGGACTTTTCACATACTTTGTTCTCAAGTAGATTCCAGCTAACAGAACTGAAATTTATTTTCATCATAAGACCGAAAGCAGGCTTTTGTCTCCATTTTCGCCCTAATAATAGTTCGAACCTCCCCAAGCTTTCTCTCCATACCCTTGTCGGTTACCCTTACAACTTAAGACATTTCGCACTCCTCCTGCGGACCTCCTCTTGCAACCTACACATCTGAACGCTCTCCGTTCCATTCTTAAAGGTATAGCTTTACTTGGAATAACTTTCCAATTAAAATTAGGCCGTTAACTAATCTGTCTGCGTTCAAACTAATAGCGAACATTTATCGTAATACTGATTCTATTAACCTTTTATATTCCTCATCTTTCCCGAGCAGCGTGACTCCGAAATAGGACCATCAGGAATTTGGGAGACCTTCTTGAAAATATTTTTCTCTGTCTCGTGCTCCCCAGGAACCACGGTGTCTCATATCATCCGCCTTTCAAAAAATGGAGGCTATATGGACATACCCAGTCCAAACTACTCCTGTTTCACTGGCTACAAACCACTACCATAATTCTATTCTGGTTCCTCAGATGTCGAGGGCCCACGTTAACTGCTGGTTTT